GCGCGCACCACCATGCCCAGCTAATTTTTGTATTTTTAGTAGAGACAGGATTTCACCACGTTGACCAGGATGATCTCGATCTGTTGACCTCATGATCCACCCGCCTCGGCCTCCCAAAGTGCTGGGATTATAGGCGTGAGCCACTGCACCCGGCCAGCAACGTTTTCTTAACCTTAGTAGTAATTGTATGGATTATACAGTAATGATGATATGGATCCATGTTATAAGTATTTATTTAAATCTACATATATACCTTACAAACTTTCTGCATGAATGTTATGTCTCACAGTTTTAAAATGTTTAATTAATGAACAGTAGAAAATTGATGCAATCATCATAAGCATACATGCATCTACAATACCATCTTGAACGATATCAAATAAATTTTTTAAATATATAAATCAACAATTGTAGTTGGAAATACTTCAAAGAACTGGAGATCAAATAGACCTGAAAATGTATGGATATGAATGAGGTGAAAAACGATTGTAAAGATATATAGATCCAAAATAAACAGGCATTCTTTTTGAATATAATTTAACACAACAATAGACAATGTATTGGGCCATAAAGGAAGCTTCGATAAATTCGAAAGAACCAATCCCATTCAGACAACATTCTCCAACTATAATGCATCCTGGAATTAACTTTTGTAAAAATGATAGCTAAAATAAAATCCCACATGTTTGGAAACTAAGTAACATATTACTAGATCAGACTGCTTAAAAACACTTAGAACTAAATAAAACACTACATGACAGAAATTGTGTTATACAACTAAAGCAGTACTTAAAGGCAAACTTACAGTTTTAAATATACTAATGATTAAGAAAGATTAAAGTCAAATGAGCTGTTACAGGAGATATAACTTCACACCCTTCAGGATAGCTACTGTCAATAACACACACACACACACACACACACACACACACACACACACACACACACACACACACACACATATACAAACACACACACGCACACACACATATACAAACACACACACGCGCACACACACATACACACACACACAAACACATACAAACACACACGCACACACACACATATACAAACACACACACAGACACAGAGAATAAGTGTTAGTGTATATGTGGAATAATTGAAACTCTTATGCATTATTAGTGGGAATGTAAAATGATATAACCGCTATAGAAAATAGTATGACAGTTACGTAAATAATTAAAGATAGAATTATCATATACTCCAGCAGTTCCACTTCTGGGTATACACCCAGAGGAATTGAAAGCAGAAACTCAAACAGAAATTTGTATGTTCATGTTCATAGTGGTATTGTTCATAATAGCCAAAAGGTCAAAACAACCCAAATGTCCATCGATAGATGATGGCTAAACAAAAGATTCCATTTTAATAATATTCCATTGTAGTATTCACATACAATCAAATATTACTGATCCTTTTTAAAAAGGAATGAAATTGTGGTACATGATACAACATGGATGAACCTTAAGAACATTGTGCTAAGTGAAATAAACGAGTCACAAAAAGACAAATACTGTATGATTCCACTTCTATGAGATATCTAGAGTAGTCAAATTTATAGAGACAGAAAGCAGAATGGCAGTTGCCAGGATTAGAGATGGAGGCAGGTGGAGAGTTATTAGTTAATAGGTATAGAGTTTCAGTTTTGAAAGATGAAGAGTTCTGGAGATGGAGAGTGGTGATGGTTGCATAACAGTGTGACTGTACCTACCACCACTGAACTGAACACTTTAAATTGGTTAAAATGCCAAATTTAATGCTCTATGTATTTTACCACAATTAGAATTTTGTATGGAAAACAAAAACAAATGTTCTGGCTTCCAGATTCCTATAGAATAATGACAGTTACCTAAATTTGAATCTCTCCATATATCCTAAAAACAAAACCATCTATGACTACAACATAATTTACAGGCACAGAAAATTATAAACCCCATTTTGTATAAAATGGCATATACATCCCAAACCAGCAGATCCAGTTACAGAGCCAGGCTCTAGAAGAGAAGCCAAGACTGCACAGAAAGAATAAACCACCACCAGAAAAAGGAAATCCCATCTTGAGTGGAGAAATACTGACAATATGTCTGAGATCTGGTAGATGAAAGAACTGAAACATATTTTAAAAGGGGGTGAAATTGAGACTGGAAATGGCAATGTTGCAAAGGCAAGAGCAAAGGCAGGAGGAAAGTGGAGACTTAAAAGGCTGATGGTGAAGAGAAAGGAAGCAAGTAGTGAATAAGAGTCCCAGGCTGGGCGTAGTGGCTCACTCCTATAAACCCAACACTATGGGAGGCCAAGGTGGAGAGATCTCTTGAGATCAGGAATTCAAGACCAGCCTGGGCAACATGGTAAGACTCCCATCTCTACAAAAACAAAAGAGTAAAATAAAATAAAAAATTTAGCCAGGTGAAGTAGCACATCTGTGGTCCCAGCTACTCAGGAGGAGGCTGAGGCAGGAGGATTGCTTGAGCCCAGGAGGCAGAGGTTGCAGTGAGCCGAGATGGCACCACTGAAGTCCAGCCTGGGAGACAGAGACAGATCCTGTCTCAAAAAGAAAGAGAAAATTAACAGTCCCACAGATGTAAGAGAGAATCACAAAATCACAAGGTATCAGCCTGTGCTCCACTCTCCAAGAAAGTGGGGAACATGCATTTTATTCTAACAACAAGAGAGGGCATTCCAGCCAGGCACAGTGGCTAACGCCTGTAATCCAAGCACTTGGGAAGGCCAACACGAGTGGATCACCTGAGGTCAAGAGTTTGAGACCAGCCTGGCCAACAGGATGAAAACCAGCCTCTACTAAAAATGTAAACTTATCTGGGCACGGTGGCACATGCCTGTAATCCTAGTTATTGGGGAGGCTGCAGCAGGAGAATTGCTTGAACTAGAGACGATGAGCCGAGATTGCACCATTGTACTCAAGCCTGGGCAATAAGAGCAAAACTCCACAGCCCCCCCCCCGAAAAAAAGAGGGCACTTTTCAACTAAAAAAGCTGGTAAGTCACCCAAACTACTGCCTGATTTCCAATTGCTGAAACTGGAAAATAAGACATTTCAAAATGCACAGAAAATTGCAGACATATTATACAGAAAAATTTTAAGTAAAAATCAATTTTTTTCTTTAGATGGAGTCTCTTCCTCTCTTGCCCACGCTGGAGTCAGTGGTGTAATCTTGGCTCACTGCAACCTCTGCCTCCCGGGTTCAAGTGATTCTTCGGTCTCAGCCTCCTGAGTAGCTGTAGCTACAGGAGCCCGCCACCCACCCAGCTAATTTTTGTATCTTTAGTAGAGATAGGGTTTCATCATGTTGGCCAGGCTAGTCTCGAACTCTTGACCTCATGATCTGCCTGCCTCGGCCTCCCAAAGTGCTGGGATTACAGGTGTGAGCCACCTCGTCCAGCAAAATCAATATATTTTTTAAAACTAACCATGAGGCTGGGCGTGGTGGCACACGCCTATAATCCCAGCACTATGGGAGGCTGAGGCAGGTGGATCACGAGGTCAAGAGATCGAGACCATCCTGGTCAATAAGGTGAAACCCTATCTCTACTAAAAATACAAAAATTAGCTGGGCATGGTGGTTCGCGCCTGTAGTCCCAGTTACTCGGGAGGCTGAGGCAGGAAAATTGCTTGAACCCGGGAGGCGGAGGCTGCGGGGAGGTGGAGGCTGCGGGGAGGCGGAGGCTGCGGTGAGCCGAGATCGTGCCATTGCACTCCAGTCTGGGTAACAACAGCGAAACTCCGTCTCAAAAAAAAACTAACCATGAAACTGGAAAACTGAAAGACAATATTTCAATCTATATTAGATAACCTTAAACAATCATTTGATAACATGAAAAAAATGCCATAAATCAGAAAAATAGAACAGAAATGGACAAAGAACAAAAACAGTAAGAAAACAGTTTGTAAAAAAGCAGGAGATATGAAAGAAACAAAAATCTCAGAAAACTAAACTATAAGATGTTCAAAGAGGAAAAGCTTTTACTGAAAATAAATAACTGGTATTGGGGAAAGGTATTAAAACAGACAAAAATAAAAATAAAATCAGGAAAGCAATTCAAAGGATCAGAGAGAAAACGGTATAGAAGCCAAGATCCAACATACATTGCTAGATCCAACATACATTGCTGTCTCTGAAGAATAAAATAATGGAACAGATGTAATCTTCAAAACTATAATACAAGAAAACTTGGGTCTACATATCGAAAGGAAACCTAGGAACATTTATATGGAACGATCAAAGTTTGATGTATATCTTAGAACATACATTAGATTTGAAAGAAAAAATCCTCTGGGCCTCTGTTATAAAGGACGAGAAGATACAAATATCCAGGTAAGTGTTAGAACAAACACATGAACATTACTGAACACTGAAAAAAATTTAAAAGTTAAGAGTTTGGTTGTTTTTGGTTTTTAAGCACTTCCTTACTTTCTAGCACTAGGAGATGCTCCACGTCCATCTCTGTATTTCCTGCCCTGTACTAAAATCAGCCATTTCTCCAAGGGGCCCTGGCTCCTTTATCATGGAGAGGGAGCTGAACTTCAGCAGCTAAAAGGCCGGAGAGCGCCCGCGGGTCTCGAACCACGCAGAGTGGTTATGTTTCCACCATAAGAAGCATTGTCGAAGTAACCGCTGAGCTAAAGCCGGCCCGGAGGCTGCTTCCGGATTTTATTTTCTTGACTGGCGAGAAAGACCTGCGTCACAAAGAGTGAGTCAAAACAAGAGCGCTTAGCATGACTCAGCATCCAGGACTGCCCAACCCGCCCCTCACCTCCAGACAATTGGACCGTGTCCGTCTGGGGACACACAGCAGTGACAAGGATTCAACCTTCCCCTTATCCCAGGAGAGCTCTTCCGCGGTTGTGTCTCCAGCTTATTCTCTCGTCAGCAGTCCACCTGGTCCACAAGTCTCGACACGCCCCCACCTCCTTCGCCTCCAGCCTCTGCGCTCCAAAAACAACCAGGCAGCGTCACTTTGTGATCAAATCAACTTTTAGAATGAGTGCTTGGGTTAGGGGAGTGGAGTCTTTACAAGCTGTAAATTGTATTTCAGATCTTATCTGAGAACTTCGCTGCCAAACTAGATGAACCTAACAACCCTTCCCCAGGTGAAACTTCCTGTTACTTTTTAAATTTTTTTTAGGGACAGAATTTCCCTCTATCACCCAGGCTGGAGTGCAATGGCCCCATGTAGGCTCAAACCATACGCCCCTCTTAGCCTCCAGAGCAGCTAGGACTACAGGCACAGGCCACCATACCCAACAAAATTTTTTTTTTTTTTTTTTTTTTTTTTTTGCCAGGCTGGAGTGCAGTGGCACAATCTAGGCTCACTGCAACCTCTGCCTCCCTGGTTAAAGCAATTCTCCTGCGTCAGCCTCCCGAGTAGCTAGGACTACAGGCATGTGCCACCACGCCCAGATGATTTTCGTATTTTTAGTGGAAACGGGGTTTCACCATGTTGGCCACGATGGAGATCTCTATCTCTTCACCTCGTGACCTGACCAGTTCAGCCTCCCACAGTGCTGGGATTACAGATGTGAGCCACCATGCCCGGCCAAAAAAATTTTTTCTTTGTTTTTTGAGACAGTCTCCACTCTGTCACTCAGGCTGGATTGTAGTGGCACAACCTCGGCTCCCAGCAGCCTCCACCTCCTGGGTTCAAGCGATTCTCATGTCTCAGCCTTCCACGTAGCTGGGACTACATGCATGTGCCACCACACCTGGCTAATTTCTGTATTTCACCATGTTGGCTAGGCTGGTCTTGAACTCCTGACCTAGAGATCCACTCCCTTTGGCCTCCCAAAAGGCTGAGATTACAGGCGTGAGCCACCATGTCCAGCTTTTTTTGTTTTTAAATGAATGAGAGGTTTTGTTGCCCAGGCTGGCTCCAAACACCTACCCTTGCCTCCTCAAGCGCCAGGACAACAGGCCTGAGCCACCGTGGCTCTCTGGGTTTTTTTGTTTGTTTTCTTGTAGAGACAGGGTCTTGCTGTTGCCTATGTTGACCTGGAACTGGCCTCAAGAGATCCTCCCACCTCAACCACTCAAAGTGCTAGGATTACCCCTGTGAGCCTCCATGCCTGGCCTAAAAATTATTTCCATTTTTAATACCACAAGAACATCTATTCCTTTTATGTACACTGTAAACAGCTAACCTTTCCTCCCAAAATTCCTACTTGTCTCCAATTAACCACTATTAATATGTCAATGTATACCCTTCCAGTACTTTTCCTCAATCTGTATATGTAACTGTACACAAAACATAAGGTTTTTCTTGGGATTGCTGGGAATCTGGATGTTGGATATTATTTCCTTAACAGCATGTCTTGAAGATCCTTCTGGTCACTGCATATAAACCTAATTTACTTGTATTGTAACAACTGCACTATAATCAAGTATAAATGTACTGGTTTTAAGATTCCCTATCATAACGTGGCAGTAATACACATCCTGGTACACATATGTACCTATACACAAGTATGTTGTTAGATTCACCATGTTGGCTAGGCTGGTCTTGAACTCCTGACCTAGAGATCCACTCCCTTTGGCCTCCCAAAAGGCTGAGATTACAGGCGTGAGCCACCATGCCCAGCTTTTTTTTTTTTTTTTTTTTTTAATAGATGAGAGGTTTTGTTGCCCAGGCTGGCCCCGAACACCTAGATTCTTTAATATATGCTGAATTAAAGAATCTGCACACGTATTTGGAGACAGTTATGGGAGAAAAGCAAGAGGCCTTGAGGGTGTCTGAAGCCACAGGACCATCTTAAATCATAAGGATCATCTTTTGTTCCCCAGGTACTTTGAAGGGCAATTACACCACTATGTAAATTCCATGACATCTGGTACTTTGATGCATTGCCCCAGAAGATAGTATCAGTGCCTCTAGCATGTTCACTTCCTAAGCACTGGTCAAATGGATATTCCTCAACCAGAATGCAACATTTCCATTGGTTTAAAAAGACCTGAAAGATGCTCCTCTGAGATTTCTGAGTTATCTGAGACTGCCGTGGGCTCTTGAATTTCCATTCCCTTTCCCAAGGTGCCACCTTGAGCACCTCCAAACACCTGATGACTTAGATTCCCTTTGAGACTCAAACCACTTGCCAGCCCCAAGATAAAGATTCTGAAATTCAGAACTGCTTTTTAGAGGTGACCAGAGGTAAGATCCCACCGTACCAAAAAGGGAGAGACATCCTTTGAAGCTAAATTGAGCTACATAGATTCCTGAAGAATGAGGCTGGGGACCATGGCTCACACCTGTAATCCCAGCACTTTGGGAGGCCAAGGCTGAGCAGATCATTTGAGGTCAGGAGTTCAAGACCAGCCTGGCCAACATTGTGAAACACCATCTCTTCTAAAAATACAAAAAAGTTAGCTGGGCGTGGTGGTGGGTGACTGTAATCCCAGCTACTCAGGAGGCTGAGGCAGGAGAATCACTTGAACCCGGGAGGCAGGGGTTGCAGTGAGCTGAGATCGTGCCACTGCACTCCAGCCTGAGTGACAGAGTGACACTCTCATTAAAAAAAAAAAAAAAAAAGTGAACCATGGAAGGAACTCACTAAAAGGGTGACAAAAGACCTAGTCAACAAGCAGACTGTCACCCAAGGGAGCTGAAGTGCACATAATCCTGCCAAGAAAAGCAGCTACCAATCTGCCCCCAGTTGACCAACAAATACTTACAGTATCTAAAACTTTGAGCCAGGCCTTGAACCCATAGGTGAAAATACATTCACGGTGTTCCCAATGGCAAGAGTCAGGATCAGAAATTAATTAGGCAGAGGGCATGTCTTACAGTAAGGGAGTTTTGTACAAAAGCCCAAAGGGAGGTGTATGGTGCTTTGTGGAACCCCCAGTGGTTCAGATACTACAGAAGGGTGAGGAGCTTAATGGGGCAGAGAACGAAAACCAGCTATATGGTGGCAGCCTGTTAACCCACATAAATCAATTTTTTCATGGTATAGAACCAGCAAGAGAAGTTACAGGTTTCATCTGCTTGAAATTAATGTGACTATAATTCTTCATGTATGTATATGACTACTTTTTTTCCTCTCCATCCCCTGGACTTGGCACAGTTCTTGACCCAGTGGATATCAAAGTTTTGTTTCTGTTTTGAGTTATCCAGACTGTGTCATCTAATTCTCAAGTTAGACCAAGATTAGATAAGAAAAAGACAGGTAGCTCGTCTCAGTGGTTATCAATGTGGGTAGGGAGGGATTTTGTCTTTCTCAGGAGCACACACATTTTTAGTTGTCACAATTGTGGGAGGGTGCTACTGGCTTCTAGTTGGTAGAGGCCAGGGATGAAGTTAATCCTAAATTAAAATCGTAAACATCCTGCAATATACAGCATTGGTCCCTACAACAAATAATCATCTGGCACAAAATGTCAACAGTGTCAAGATTAAGTAATCCTGTGTCTAGCAGAGAGTAAGAAAAACACTAAGGGCCGGGCACAGTGGCTCACTCCTGTAATCCCAGCACTTTGGGAGACCGAGGCAGGTGAATTACCTGAGGTCAAGAGTTTGAGACCACCCTGGCCAACATGGTGAAACACCGTCTCTACTGAAAATACAAAAATTAGCCAGGTGTGGTGGTGGGTGCCTGTAGTCCCAGCTACTCAGGAGGCTGAGGCAGGAGAATCACTTGAACCCAGGAGGTGGAGGTTGCAGTAAGCCAAGATCGTGCCACTATACTCAACTGGGCAAGCAAGTGACACTGCCTCAAGAAAAAAAAGAAAAGCACTAAGTTGAACCCTGAGTTCTGCTGCTCCAAAAACAAAAGATCAAAGGAGTCTGAAATTATAGGAATAGTTTTGGTTCAGACGCCTCTGGGCATAGATCCTGTATCAGAGGAAAACATAACTCATACCAAAAAAAAAAAAAAAAAAAAAACCTAGGCAAAAGTAAAATTTTAAATAGAAGGAAAAAACACTCTATATTGAAATCCTCAGCGTGAGAAAGAAAAACAAATATTCACAGGAAAGATGATGAAATGTTCCCACCAAATGTGAAACAGGCCCAGTCAATGCCATTTATTATACATGTTGAACAGCTTCTAGGACCCAATGGCTCCCATAGGAAGGCTTTGGGGATTTTTTGTTTTTTCATTTTCTTCTTTGTATCAAACAGGTTCTTCCAAAAGCCTGCTCACAAGGAAGACAAAAACAGAAATCCTCAGGAAAATGAAACAAGAGAAGCTGAAACAATCTATACCTGAATGTTAAAAAACTCACCAGACACAAACCACACCAAACACTCATCCCATTTAATTTCCTGTTACATGCTGTGAGGAAGCCAAGAACATTAGGTCCCAGGGCAGCAATGCTCTGAGATTCCAGCTCAGGCCCCCTCTATGTGACAGATTCATGCACACACATCCACGCACATCATAGAACCAGGCAGAAATACACATGCATGCACAGGTGGCTAGAGAACCATGGGAAAAAAGGGCTGGTCAACGATATGCAATCAACTGCAAACTGGGACCTAGAGAATGCTTCTGTTGCAGGCTGAACATGAGTTAAAATTAGAACAAAGGCAGAACACAGGATAAAGGTGGGATGCTCAGACAAGAGGTTGGATAGATGGAGAGATCAAGATGCAGGGGGAGTTTTGGGAAAGCAGCCTCAGAAAGGGAGGTTTTTCTTTATTGGGAACTCAGGTGGGCAGGGATCCTATGACTCCAGTGATATACTGAGGCTGAAGGAATATGCCACAGCATTACCTCTGCAATCTATGTCCTCTCCCAAAGTAGAGGAAACCATGAGCCCCAACTTCTGTCCCTCCCCATTGACACTCTTAAGGACTTTACCATTACCCAAAAAGAAATTACCCCCCACTACAAACACACACACAAAGTTAGGTCCAGCATAGGCCAAAGTTAGGCCAAGCATAGAAAGCCTCAGTAACTCTTCTTGGTGGAACCAAAGCCAGAGAAGCCCATCACAGCTGCCATCTCATCATCCTCCTCAAATGTCAAGTCCTCCTCAGCCCTCCTTTTCTTCTCCTTCTGTTTCTCTTTCTTGTATGCTTTGGCCTTTTCCTCCTGGAGGGAAAAGTCACTCAGAATCAGTTTAGACTCCTCAGCCAAATGTTGTTGAAAAAAACATGAGCTTCAAGATTCCTTTTTATCGTTAGGAGAAAGTAGTTAAGTAAAATCTGAAGGACAGAGTAAAAGCCACAGTAAAAACTGTGAGGGATAAGAAAAAGTTTTAGTCCCTAGAGGGAAGTTCTCAATCCTGGACTCCAGTTCACTTTTTTTTCTTTTTCTTTTTTTTTTTTGAGACAGTCTCACTCTGTCGCCTAGGCTGAAGTGCAGTGGCATAATCTTGGCTCATTACAACCTCCACCTCCTGGGCTCAACCAATCCTCCCACCTCAGCCCCAAGCAGCTGGGACTACAGGCATATACCACACTATACCAGCTAATTTTTGTATTTTTATTTTTTTATTATTTTTATTTATTCATTTATTTTTGAGACAGAGTTTCACTCTTGTTACCCAGGCTGAAGTGCAATGGCGCAATCTCTGCTCACCGCAACCTCCGCCTCCTGGGTTCAGGCAATTCTCCTGCCTCAGCCTCCTGAGTAACTGGGATTACAGGCACACGCCACCATGCCCAGCTAATTTTTTGTATTTTTTGTAGAGACGGGGTTTCACCATGTTGACCAGGATGGTCTCAATCTGTTGACCTCGTGATCCACCTGCCTTGGCCTCCCAAAGTGCTGGGATTACAGGCTTGAGCCACCGCGCCCGGCCCTGTATTTTTAGAGACGGGGTCCCACCCATGTTGCTGAGGTGGTCTTGAACTCCTGGGCTCAAGTGATCAACCCACGTTGGCCTCCCAAAGTGCTGAGATTGCAGGCATGAGCCACTGCATCTGGCCCCGTTTCATTTCTAGTTCCTAACAGGGTTATGACAGCAAAACCGTATTAACAGCAACTAACATTCTGAGGCATGCAGTACAGGCCAGAAACTGTTGTACTTCATGTATACTATACTAAGATCTCTAATATGGGGTTATGGAAGTACAGAGAAGTTATATAACTTGCCCAAATTCAGTAAGAGAAAGAAACAGAATTCTGATCCAGTCAGACTGATTCCATGGGCCTCTTTAGGACTAGGTACATTTAATTAATTCCTTTTGTAGTTTAAAAAAAAAAAGAAGAAGAAAAAGTACAGGGGAGGCTATGCATGTTGCGGGGGGCAATGGGTATACGGAAAATTTTTATACCTCCCTTTCAATTTTGTTATAAACCTAAATTGCTCTAAAAAAGTTAAATCTTTAAAAAAATTAAAGAATACAGATGAGACAGTCCTCAACTTGATCTGATAAGATTTTTTAATTTTACAATGGAGAGAAACTGACATATATTTGAAACTGTACTTCAAGTATCCCTACAACCATTGTTTTTCACTTTCAGTACAGTATTTAATAAACTAATGAGATGAATACTTTATTATAGAATATGCTTTGTGTTGACAGTTTGGCCCAATTATAGGCTAATATGTTCTGAATACATTAAGGTAGGCTAGGCTAACCTATGGTAGGTTAGGTGTATTATACATTTTTGACTTCTGATATTCCTAACTTGATGATGGGGTTTATCAGTAGGTAACCCCATCATAAGTAGAGAAATACCAAAAAAATAAAATAAGGCCCAGAGAGTCCAGAAGAAAAAAGTAGTTTCAGAGCCATTTCCTTCAGGTCATGAGAATCCTAAATAAAGGCAACAAATATTCCTGCTAATATATAGAACTCAAGAGATACAACTCTGGGGGTGGGGGTGGGATGAGGACAGGGTCTCCCATGATTTATAACATAAATCTGAAATCTGGAGGAAAAGGGAAGGATAGGAGAGCCTTACCTCTTCTCTGAGCTCCTTCATCCTTTCCTCAAAATCATAATCCTTCTGCTTTTCTTCCATCTTCTTCTTGTTGACCTCAAAACGTTTCTTCACCTGATCCAGGGTGGAACGTTCCACACGCATAGACATGCCCAGGTTTCTCTGATCTGGGTGGGATCAACAGTGAAGAAGGCAAGCTCATTATAACATCCTCAGCCCCTCAAAAAGCATTTTCCTGACTTTTCTGACATCTTCTCATATGACGTCTCATAAAACACACAGCAAAAATAATTATGGCTAAAAGAAACTCCTTGGGCCAGCTGGGCCTAGGAGCAGCACATGGTTTGGGTGATGTTGAAAGCCTCATGGCCTCCAGAATGAGGCCTCTTACCTCATGGCTTCTAAAAATATTACATAATGAAGTAAAAGATGGCCTGCACTGAAACAACTGGAGAGTCCTAAGGGTATCAAAAAAAGAGCCCAACAGAAACTACCTTTCCTACTCCAGCCTCTTTTGATCAGTGAAAAAAAGAAGAAAGAAGAAACTACCCTTCCCTTCCACCCCACCTCCAAAACCCAGTTACACCCCTAGTCACAAACTACCTCCAAGCCTTACGTTTCTTTCCATTAATGTGATCCAGAAAGTTGATGGAGTCCTTTACCACACAGTCACAGACATTGCAATAATATCTAAAAGGAAGAAACAGGATCTGGGTCAAATATTGTTTTAAGGATCTTTTCATTTTCAACCAAAAAACTCAAATTTTTAGGTAAACTTCTTTTTGAAAGTGTTAAGCCTTCATTTCTATAAAGCCTTAGCTCTCAAGAGGGTATAGCAGTCATCCTCCAAGAGAGCCCCAGAATGAGCCCCACCCTCTTGGTATTCCTACTCTTTGTAGTCTCTTTCCAATTTGTACCAGGGTTGGTCTGTGAGGCCAACAGAATATGTCAAAAGTGATCTCTTCCAAAATTAGTTTATTAAAAAAAAAACATGCCTTCTGTCTTTGTATAGATTACTTGCTCCAGGGAAGCCAGTTGGTTTGGTGTGGGCAGCTTTACAGAAAGGTCTATGGGGCAAAGACCTTAAGCCTTCCAAACCACAGGCATGTGAGAGAGCTTGGAAGCAGATCCTCCAGCCCCACTTAAGACTCAGATGAATGCAGACCTACCCTGTTAACTCCTTGACTGCAGCTTCATGAAAAGATCCTGAGCCAGAACCACCTAGGTAAGCCACTCCGGGATTCCTTACCCAAAGAAACTGTGAGCTGTGTTGTTTATGTTGCTAAGCCTTGGGTTAATTTGTTAATTTACGTAACAATAGAAAGCTAATACTGAGAGGAATGACAAGAGTGGGTTTACTAAGCAGCTCAGAGAAGCGTCACTCATTGCCATGTTGCTCTCCTGCCAGAAAACCTACCTGGACAGAGAAGCAGTCATGGGCAAAAGGGTGACCAGCTCTTGTGGGACCCTTCTTCCTATAGCTTATAGTCTTGGAAGAAGGTGTACAACCAGGCAATCCATAACAACTACAGCCTTTGCAGCTAATCTGGAACCTCAAATGCTGCTTCTTCACCATTAACAACTCCTAGGCTCTATTCTAGGTCCACCAATTTCTCCTCTAGAAATCTCCTCAGTAGTCCCTTCATTTCTTCCTCTGACAGAACAAATAATACCTTTTAAAATACTAATAGTAAGTAGGCTGGGTGCGGTGGCTCACGCCTATAATCCCAGCACTTTGGGAGGCCGAGGCGGGTGGGTCACGAGGTCAAGAGATCGAGACCATCCTGGTCAACATGGTGAAACCCCGTCTCTACTAAAAATACAAAAATTAGCTGGGCATGGTGGCGCGTGCCTGCAGTCCCAGCTACTTGGCAGGCTGAGGCAAGAGAATTGCTTGAACCCAGGAGGCGGAGGTTGCGGTGAGTCGAGATCTGCCATTGCACTCCAGTCTGGGTAACAAGAGCGAAACTCCGTCTCAAATAAAAAAAAACTAATAGTAAATCCAAATTCATATCAAATATAGTAACAATAAATTTAAAAAATATATTAAGTAGTAATTCCAGTGCTAATAGTATGATTTTTGTTTGTTTGTTTTTTTAATTGAGACAGGATCTCACTGTGGTGCCCAGGCTGGTCTTGAATTCCTGGGCTCAAGCAATCCTCCTGCCTTGGCCTCCCAAAGTGCTGGGATTACAGGTATGAGCCACTGTGCCCAGCCAATGCTAATAATATGAAGAAGCCCACTGAGTGACCATTCCTAGAGACACTATCATATCAACTTGAGACCTCAGGAGATACAGAAAAACAAATATAAAAATGGAATTACAGGCAAGAAGGATGTAATCCTGGGGCCAAGGACCTTCCTCAACACTTCCTAAAACCAAAGTAGGTGGCTTATTAGATGCATTCTTGGCTGCAGAGAAAAATGATAAGCAACTCACCCTCCCATCTCAGATTGAGGTGTGGTCTTGGTAATAACAATTGTCTTCCCAAGTTTGGATTCCAAGTCCACCTTGTAGTCCCTATGCCGTAGAAGCTCTCGCTTGACAGGCTGCACTGGTTTTCCTGAAACATATGAGGAAGGAAGTCCCTTTATAGTTCCTCAACCAGAAAGGAAAAAAAAAAAATGCATGAAACCCCAAATTCAGATCTACTCTCTTTTCAAAATGATTCCTGAGAGAAAGGACACAACAGACACTTAAAGTTGCAGCTTGGGAAGAATCTCAACACAGGAAAAAATGATAAGCAATCCCCAACTTTCTACAGCTTTTCTGCACTTTAAAGCCAGCAAATCTAAAAGCAGTATGTTTTATATTCATTGACTAACTGGATTGTGGGGGAGACGTTCTGAATTGTTACTAAAAGCAACTTTTTCAAAAGAAGAGCAAGGACATGCAAGAATGCTTTCAGGCAGATGCCCTAGGCATAACAGAAAGGAACCTTCTGAGAGCCGGGCAAATTTATAAAAGGGAACCAACATTTAGAAAATGTCTGTTACATGTCAAGCACTATTTATTATACATGTTACATAAAAACTAAAAGGGTTAGTGTGCGCAAGGTGGCCTAGAGGTAAAGGGAAAGATGTATACGTTTGAAACAAATGACAAAATAAGACATTTCTTTATGCAATCTCTTAACCAGGAGAGAAGCACCAACTCCCTGATGTACAAGGCAGAGAGAAACAGCACTACTACTAAGCACTAGCTGAAACAATCACAGATACTGGAAAGCACTCCGGCTTTTCTGACTATATAGGAGGGTCTTGATTGGGTCAGGAATGTTCTCTCCCTTAAGAAATTTTAAGGGAAAGAGGGGATCACTGATAGCGGTAATGCACTGCAGCAAAATATTCCATTTAACTTCTCTGTCACTACTAAGGATTCTGTTATCCTCTCTGTACTTCAGGAAAGCATTAAACGAGTTGAGCAAAGGGTAGCCAAGGAAGCAGAGTAAAACAGAGCTGAAGAGCATCTCAAAACTACTTACTTCAGCCCACTTCCTCGCTCTCATTTTGTAAATGTAGAAACCTAGGCCCAGAGAAGCAACACTCTGCCAGAGATTACACCGCGTAGGAAGCCAGCGCATTTCAACTCCCACCCGCTCTCCATCATCGCATTGCCTCTGTGATACCCTTAGCCTTTGATGTAGTTAGCACCCACCATCCTTCTTTTCTCTCTCTTCCGTGAGCCTCTTCTCGGCGAGCTTCTCGTACTCATCTTTGTCCCACTTTCGGCGAAAGTCCAAGTTTTTTGTCTGTGGGGAAAAAAAAACGTCAAGATCCGTCGCCAATCGTGTCCGGACCCCTAAAGAAACCGAGAACCGCGCCCCTGCCGCCCAGGCGACCCCAGGATCTTTCGAAAACGAAGCCCCTTTGGATCACACGAGAAGGCTGATAGCCTCAGGACCCCAACCCGGGAAATCTCCACAATTCCACTGACCCTTCTCTAAGGCCTACACTGGGGAGTTCTTGAACCTGGACCCTGGGATCTCGAAGAGATGTCGGGAAGCCAGTCGGGTGCAGGAGTTTGTCTCTACTCAGCTCTGAAAAACCATTCCCCACCACGCAAAACCTCCTCAGACACAACACCTACCCCGCTGCCCGACGCCATCTTCACAGCAAAGTGAATGGCAAGCCGAAAAATGCCGTAAAATGCGACCTGGCGCCGCAAGGCAAGATGGTCCTCCAATAAGCTTAGAGTCTCGTGTTCTAAACGAGCTAAGGACTGGATGGCTTCTAAAACAAGCTTCTTGGCCCCGCCTCTGCTCCAAGGAGACAGCGCAGGCGCAAGGGGAGTATGAAGCAACACGGAAGTAAGGGCGCCTGCAAGCGCTTTTTGCCTTGGCTTTCAAAACAAGTTTTGAAAGGTCAAGATTTAGTTAAACTATTTTACAAACGAGGAAACGGAGGTTCGCAAACAGTGATCTCTGATCTAGTCTAGCAACTCTGCGTACATTGCCAAGCGTTTCTAAACCTTTTTTAAGGTCGAAGCGCCAAGGGGGTATAGAATAGCCTCTCATTCACCTGCATGCACTGGGGAAATGACCCGAATTGCAACAGATACACCCTTCCCAAAGCACACATAAAAAGCAGGTTTTGCACTTGGGCTCTTTTCCTTGAAACAATGCTATCACTCTTTGGTTGACTCATTTTTCCATCATCTGGGGAACTCTATAGTAGGGCATAATTTAATCAGCATGATTGGATTTGGAAAGGCCAGTCATCAACAACACTACAGAGCGAAGCACTTTGGCATGCCGGCTCTCTGTATGTTGATTTGTAGCAATAAAACTATCTCTTGAGGGGACAGAAGGAAAGAGGGAGAAACTGTGGCTGCTCATCACTGAATACAGAAGCATCATCCCAGGGAGGTCACTCCTACCTCACAGAATTCTCCAGTGTACACTCAAGCATTTTCTATGCTCTGTGCAAACCAAGCCCTTGATAACAACAATAATAAATTACCCAAACTACTACACTTAATATTTTATTTAACATGTTATCCAACCACTTCTAGAACAGCCTCCATGGCATGGAAATTACAGCAGTGATTCTGGCACAGGAAATGGTCTCCAAAATCTGAAAATATCAGATCTCCACCTTGTCAAGTCACCTATTTAGTTTAGTGTTCAAGATTATTAAGCATATAGCTCCACCCTGCTATCATTAGTAATGGATGGGCTAGCGCAATGTCAAATCAACATGGGTACTGCCATGCCCTTAGGATAGCATCTGTCCTCAAACAAAGCTGAAAGCAGCCATTGCCCCTCCTTGCTGTCTTCCAAAAACTCCCCAGACAGGCCAAAGGCTGGTTGTGGACAAATTCACCAGAATCTGGTTCCGTAGCTACAGCAGAAGGCTAAGTATCTGGCTTCTGATCTCAATTGTTCAGAATCCTCGGCCTGAGGTGACTCTCCCAGAGCCTGGCTCACAGCAACAATCTCAGTACCTCTTTACAGCATTCAGTGGCACTTCAAATTTGCCTCTGCAGCTAAAGCATGTCTCTTTCACAACCAGCCATCTGCACCCATGCAGAATAGCTGCTCACACTAGCCCAGGAGTCCTCAGAGTCTTCTACAGTTCTCTATCCAGGAAAGATGGAGGAGGCAGAAGGTATTTGAGGCCCATCCTGGCCAGTTGTTGTTAAGTCCATCACTCAGTTCTAGAGGAACTCAGTTCTAGAGGAAACCTTTTTGACAAAGAGCAGCAGAGGATCAAGACTCAGAGAGGCGCTTCTGAATTTCAGCCACAAGATTTTCTCGTTTAATGGCCACCTGAAACATAAGAGAATCCTCATGTGACAAACTAGAAAGTGATACTAGCTCCTTAGTCACTGTTTTTCCAAATTCGTTTTACTCTGCATTTGCTCCCATTATTTATACTACAAGTAAGGAGCAGTGTGGCCTGACCTGGAGAATGTATACCCTCAAGACTAAAGGGATTCAAACACCTGATCTATGTCTATTAAGTTAATTAGTCTCAAAATACCCATTCGGATTTCATTTGTCTTTCTTCTATTCCCTTCTCTAAGGCCTTCACTGGGGAGTTCTTGAACCTGGACCCTGGGACCCTGAGTATTGGCCACCCAGCCAATACTCACAGGCTACAATGGGTATTTGGAGTAGGTCTTTGTTCATCTCTATCACTATTAACCATGAAGATAATTTCTCAGCCAGAAGATACATATTTCTTAAAGAATCTGGGAAAGGCAGAAACACTTTGTCCCTTCTATTTCCGCTGTTCCCACTCACCTCCTCTCTGCTGGCCACTGAACGGATCTTGACGACTCCTTCTTTCAATTCTTGCTCACCAACAATGACCACCAGTGGAATGCCCGTGCTCTCACAATAGTGCAGCTGGGTTAACAGTTTGGGGTTGTTCTTGTATAGCATCTCTGCCTGAAAAGGATCAAGACAGAGTAAGGGACTTAGAAGTGAACACAGTACACAAACCTCAGGAACATGGATATCCAAGAAACCCAGAGATAAGTGGCTAGTCCTCCCACCCTAAAGACACCCTAGTGGCTAGTAGACTAAAAAGGTTTTGAGTTCCACCCTAGGCATAAGGTAGAAATGGCCCTATACCCAGATGGCTGAGATATCAGCGTCACCATACCTTGATTCCAGCATCCCAAAGCTCTGCAATAAGCTTCAGCCGTTCGTGGAGAAAGTTCTTATGTGGTGTGGCCACTAACACTTGAGTCTCTGTAGTCCGTACCTTCTCACCAAAAGTCTGATAAGAGAGAAGAAAGTGTCCGAGTGCGGCGGCTCACGCCTGTAATCCCATCACTGTGGGAGGCCAAGGCGGGTGGATCACAAGGTCAGGAGTTCGAGACCAGCCTGGCCAATATGGTGAAACTCCATCTCTACTGAAATTGCAAAAAAAAAAAAACTTAGCCAACCATGGTGGCACATGCCTATAATCCCAGTACTTGGGAGGATGAGGCAGAAGAATTGCTTAAACCAGGGAGGCAAAGGTTGCAGTGCACTGAGATTGCACCACTGCACTCCAGCCTGGGTGACAGAGCAAGACTCGTCTCAAAAAAAAAAAAAAAAAGAAAGAAGATAAAACCTCCTTTCTACTAGCAATTCCAAAAATCAAGACAAAAAGAATCATCAGAAAACCACTCCAACTGCACCTCCAGAATTTTTAGGCCTCCAGCCCCACCTCACACCTACCTAGGACCTACCTTCATCCTCTGCTCCACAATGTTGAAGATTCGCTCTACCCCAATGCTGAGTCCCACACATGGCACCTTGTGGCCCTTGGGGTCAAACATGCCTACCAGCCCGTCATAGCGCCCACCAGCAGCCACACTGCCCACACTCAGGGGCTCCTCCCCAGCCTGAGTTGGGGTGTGCAGCAGCACTGCTTCATAGATCACTCCTGTATAGTAGTCCAGGCCCCGAGCCAGGCTTAGGTCAAAGGAGATCTGTGGGGACAAGGCTACAGTCAGTTCCAAACTAGACTCGGGACCCTGAGAGCCCAGAGCTCAGTAGGAGGTCCATTTGCAACTCAGCTTACCTTCTTAGCAATTCCAAATAAAGTTAGGTATTCAAATAGCAGCTTCAGGTCTCCCAGACCCTCCAGGGCCTGCTTGTTCTGGGATAGTCTGGGATCCTGAAACATTTGCTTTACCAGGGATTCTCCACCTGGAGAGAAATAAGGTCTCTGCTGTTCACCCAGATGTGTTTCATTCAAAATTATCCCTGATGTGCTCTGGCTAGTCTTCATTTTCTTTAAAAAAAAAAAAAAAAAAAAAAAATCCCAGTCTCACATGACAAAATCCTCCTCCTTCGCCTCTACCTTTGCTATCTGAAGACACAAAGTTGTTACAATAAGTAAATGAGAAATTAAATTTAGGCCAAGTACTGCAACTTAGCTATCTACAGAAAGGAGTTGTTTCAGAGGTAGAATTTGAGCGTGTCACCCTCAGCCTGGTTCTATCACAGCTCTGAAAACCCTGGTTCTTACCATGACATCGGACATAGTCCCCAATTCGATCAGCCACCTCAGGAGCCAGGCCTTTCTTTGCCACCATCTCATGTCTCACATCTTTCCAGGCCATCTGCATAAACACCCAAACATTAGCCAAGCCCCCAATCATTCTTTCTCAAACTGGAAAAGGACAACTCACTTTCATTTAGTATATATATCACAAGTAGCTAACTGTATACTCAGCAAAGTCAGAAACAGCTTAAGAAATTCAGTCACAATCCCCAATGTACAGCATGACTCAGATTTTGCTTCAAAATATGTCTCTTTATCTTCCTCCCCAAAATAGTCCACTTCCAGCCACTATCTCCTTATTTTTCACTAGTGGTATGGATTTGAGGGCGAGGCAGAAGCTAGAGAGGGTCTACTAAAGCATGTCTTCGTTACCTTGTCTAGTTTATCTATGGAGGAGCAGATGGTACGGAACTTGCTTTCAGGAACACCACAGACAGCAAACATCCCATCCACAATCCGCCGGTCATTAACCTATGAACGCAATGTAAATAACCCAGGTGTTTGTCAATGCCCTTTTACTTAAAACAATGGCAGTACCTGCTTTCCTGACATATAAAAAGGATGGAAATTTCACAGGAAGAGTACAGACACACAGGAAATATAACCGCTTTACTAAGAAAGTCCTAGAACTGCAGGCTTAAGGGTTGGAGTCACCCAAGTTTGGCACTTGCATAAACAATATCAGGCCAAATCCAGACTTCTCCCAGTTCTCAGCCCTGGCCTCACCTTAATGAGAAAGTCTCCCAACTGCAATCCATTTAAGATTTCACACATGATCTTCAAACACTCTGCATCAGGGATCATAGGGTCAAACTGACCAGCAATGTCAAAATCCTACAGCAAAGAAAAAGGAAAAAACTTTCATTATCCAGCTAATTTCAAGGTTGTGGCCCCTAGAACTATCAAACTTTGCTGCTCCCATCAGGTCACTTACACACTGGCAGAACTCCCTGTAGCGGCCTTGGACTATAGTTGGGCTCTCTCGCCGCCACACTTTTCCAACATGGTAACGTTTCATCTTCTTCACTTTATTCATGGCCAGATAACGAGCAAAGGGAACCTCACATAAATGGGTTAAGGAAGAGGGATACTGCATCCAAAGGTTAGGCCCCGGATACAGACATTAGGGAGGACTAAGCCTCTATCAACTGGATCTCATCCGCTAGGATGAGAACAAGGACCTTTCCTTGCTTCCACTATCCCCAAGTCCTAGCAGTGCTTGGCATTCAATATATATTGAATAATGTCAAATGAAGAAATCTCACCTAGCAAAACTAAAAGTTCAGCAGAAAACAAGAAGCAGAGATAGAAGTGAACCAAGAACTAATTTCAGGTCTGGGTCATTTCTGCCCATTCAGATCAACTCCCAGTCATCGCAAAATAGTCAAGCTTCAGAACTTGGATTTGCCTAACAACTTCTAAGCTACTGTTTGTGAAAGTACGGGGAAAGGACCACATGCACCTTAATTACCCACAATACTTGTTTAAAATGCAAATTGTTGGCCAGATGTGGTGGCTCACACCTGTAACCCCAGCACTTTAAGAGGCCAAGGTGGGAAGATCACTTGAAGCAAAGAGTTTATGATCAGCCTGGGCAACAAAGACCCCATCTCCATACACACACACTCAAAAAAAAAAGTGTGTATGGAGACTTTTTTTTTTTTTGAGACCAGGTTTCACTCTTGTCACCCAGGCTGGAGTGCAACAGTATGATCTCGGCTCACTGCAACCTCCACCCCCTGGGTTCAAGTGATTCTCCTGCCTTAGCCTCCCAAGTAGCTGGGATTATAGGAGCCCATTATAAATGCCCTGCTCATTTTTTAGGTCAAAGGAGATCTGTGGGGACAATGCTACAGTCAGTCCCAAACTAGACTCGGAACCCTGACAGCCCCAGAGCACAGCAGGAGCTGAGTAAACACGGGGTTTCACCATGTTGGCCAGGCTGGTCTTCAACTCCTGACCTCACGTGATCCACCTACCTCAGACTCTTAAATAATCATGCCCAAAGATTACAGGTGTGAGCCACCATACCCAGCCAAAAAAAAATTTTTTTTAAATACACATAATTGAGCCCCATTCCAGCTACATAATTAGCTAAGAATCTCTGGGACTGGGGCCAAATATCTGTGCTTCTGTAAGCTCTCTCAAAGGATTATGACACTCATTAGAGTTAAATGACAGTTCTGTTATGGGAGCCTGGCCTGTTTTTGTATACTTTACGGTAGTACATTTAACGCAAACACTAACAAAAGTTTTTTAGTTTACCTTAAAAGCAGTAGTTCCCAACCAGTTATTTCTCATAAACTATTAGGTAGAAGACACATTGGGATTTATATGGCCTGGCCAAGCTCCCCTAAAGGAACTGCCTTCTGGGAGAAACTAGAAGTAAAGTCTACGCCAATGGATCTCTAAGATCCCAAAGTCACTTTCTGCACTTTTGTCAGAGAAAGACCTCTGGATTTGGAAAGAGATAGTCAGGTTCCAGTACTCAAAAGGATACAGTAAGGTCATAACGGAGGGACAACAGCTCTCCACCTTGATCCTTCAGATCATACATGAGCCCGGAGTCCTCTCCATACTTCTCAGTGAGCATTTCCTGTAGGGGTCAAACAGAATGAGCAACAGTTCAAAGGATGACTCCAAAACACAGATAAGAAGCCCTGTGGGACACTGAAGGCCAGTGAAGAAGTGAGTGAGGTTGCACATACTTTTTCTTCTCTTACCTTCAGCTCAAATGCTGGGGTATCCATCCCCTTGGCTCCATGACGTTTAAAGCAGCTGACAACCAAATCAAGAATTTTCTCCCTCACAACCATCTGCTGAGGACTGAGATCCCTGGTACCCTGGAAACAGAAAGCAGTGACAGTGAAAACAAAAACAAAAAATAAGTCAATTTCAGACAAGGAGTTAAACTATACCTATTACATAATGTCAGGTCTGGAGTTGAAATCTATTGAGTTCAAATGACTCTGAGCCCCACTTCAAGAAAAGTATATATTTTTAAAATTTACTTTAATGGACATTAAAAGGGGTCAGAGAGACATGCAAGGCAGAAGTCAGTCATCCAAGGCATTCTAATGGGATAGGGTAGACAAAAAGTATTACCTTTGGGGTCCTGATAATAAAATTTGGCTTCTCTTGATGTGCTTTCAGTTGAGATGTTAACACTGCCTCTGCAACCTAGCAGAAGAATGAAAGATGTGGCTCCTCTGGACAAAGGCCAGACTCGTGGCATCACTGACCCTGTTGACCACCAACCTGCAAAGGCTCTTCACCCTGAGCAACAGGAAGCCAGAGCACCATTTCATCTATCCCAATCTCAGTCCCACCCTAAAGAACCCATGTTGTATCTACAATTACACACATAATATATATGAGATCAGGTCTTCACCACACAAGCTTCCTCACTGTATATGGCTTTTTTTTTTTTTGAGACAGAGTCTCGCTCTGTCACCCAGGCTGGTGCGGAGTGGCATGATCTCAGCTCACTGCAACCTCTGCCCCCCAGGTTCAAGCATTTCTCCTGCCTCAGCCTCCTGAGTAGCTGGGACTACAGGTGCCTGCCACCACGGCTGGTTAATTTTTTTTATTTTTAGTGGAGATGGGGTTTCACCATGTTGGCCAGGCTGGTCTTGAACTCCTACCTCATGATCCACCTGCCTTGTCCTCCTAAAGTGCTGGGATTACAGGCATAAACCACCGCGCTCCGCTGGATTTCTAACATTCTCAAAAAGTTTAAGAATCTGAGACTAGATGGATGCAGTGGCTCACACCTGTAATCCCAGCACTTTGAGAGGCTGAGGCGGATGGATCACCTGAGGTTGGGAGATTGAGACTATCCTGGCTAATATGGTGAAACTTCAGCTCTACTAAAAATACAAAAAATTAGCTGGGTGTGGTGGCACATGCCTGTAATCTCAGCTACTCAGGCTACTAGGGAGGCTAAGGCAGGAGAATTGCTGGAACCCGAGAGGCAAAGGTTGCGGTGAGCCAAGATTGCAATAAGGTGAGCAGAGATGGTGCTCACTGCACTCCAGCCTGGGGAACAAAAGCAAAACTCTTATTTCAAAAAAAAAAAAAAAAAAAATTCTGAGAATAATGAAGGCACTGGATAACCCACCATTACCAACACCAACCACTTAGGAGTAGGGATTATGATGCTCTTCTCCAGTTCACAGTTCCTACTCAGATAGCAAAAATAAGTAGAGTCTCACTCTGTCACCCAGGCTGGAGTGCAGTGGTGCAATCTCAGCTCACTACAACCTCCACCTCCCAAGTTCAAGCGATTCTCCTGTCTCAGCCTCCTGAGTAGCTGTGATTACAGATGCTCGCCACCACGCCAAGCTAATTTTTGTATTTTTAATAGAGACAGGGTTTCACCATATTAGTCAGACTGGTCTCAAACTCCTGACCTCAGGTGATCCACCCACTGACTCAGCCTCCCAATGTGCTGGGATTACAGGTGTGAGCCACTGCCCCTGGCCACAAAATAAGAATTTTTAATAAGGCAGCACTGGTCATCAGGTTTAGAGACAGGAAAACTGTAACATTAAGACAAAGGAACTAGCTCAAGGACACAGAACAAGCATGTGGAATGAAAAGATACGGATTTATAGAATGAACTAAAAAACTCAGACTGGTTTAAGATGCTGTGACTAAGTATTAATAAAAGGCTTGAGACCTGTTCATGATACCACAAAGCATCTGCTAAGAGGGTATGAGTCTTTCCGAAGTAAGGCAAAACTTAACCAGTGACATAACCAGCAATCTGACAGCCCTTCCAAAAATAGAAGATGTGGTAGTTCCATATTATGGCGATTATCGGCCCCAAAAGAAGTCCAAATTCAAGTCCATAATCCCTTATCTGCAATTCCAAAATCCAAAAATCTCTGAAATCCGAAAATGTTTTTCTGAGATTCATTTTGAGGTAAATTCTAAGGTGAACTCAGTCTACTTGTGGTCTTTAGTCATCTTATTTATTAGGAATATTCATACATTTTGCTTAAAAATATTACTGTTTGAGCCGGGCGTGGTGGCTCACCCCTGTAATCCCAGCACTTTGGGAGGCCGAGGCGGGTGGATCACGAGGTCAAGAGATCGAGACCATTCTGGTCAACATGGTGAAACCCCGTCTCTACTAAAAATACTAAAAATTAGCTGGGCGTGATGGCGCGTGCCTGTAATCCCAGCTACTCAGGAGGCTGAGGCAGGAGAATTGCCTGAACCCAGGAGGCGGAGGTTGCGGTGAGCCGAGATCGCGCCATTGCACTCCAGCCTGGGTAACAAGAGCGAAACTCCGTCTCCAAAAAAAAAAATTACTGTTTGAGTCGAAGAGTTTCAGGAAAAAGAGCCTGGATATGAATTAAAATACACCCTTCCTACATATCCGTGTATAAATCATTCATTTAATCTTGCAGCCTCCGTTTCCTCATCTGCAGAATGGAAATAAAATCTCCGACCTCTCAAGACTGCTGCAAGGATTAAATGACCAGGCACCCATATCTTTTAGTTTGGTGTCAGTACATAGTAGGCACTCGATAAAAACCGACTGCAACGCTACTGGATTACAGGCCACAAGTCTACGCTTTCAGATCTGGAGGCCCCGCTGGGACAGACCACAGATAATTCTGTCTCGCTCACCTGGCTGTGGCAACGGACCGCCCGGGTGCACGAAGCGCAGGGCGGTCGCAGAAGCTGGCTGAGCAGCGCAGCCCAGGCCCTCCTGGGTAGAAGTCCGAGCTGGGGCATCGCGCGGCAGGACTCCGGATTTCCGGGACAGGAACAAAAGGTCTTGGAAGGAGGCGGGTCGGACTCTAGGAAGGGTGCAGGGCGCTGCAAAGACGAAACCCGGGCACCTGGGACACCTCGAGCGTTCGCGCACCTCACCAGTCACGAAAGCTAAGCTCTGAGCCTCCCAAGTTACCTTAGTAGCCAGCTACGGCACTTCCTGTAGGAGACGGAAATAATTTTTGCGCTCAACGGAGGCTCTCTAGGCATGCGAGCCTGCGACTCGATAGCCGGAAGTCATCCTTGCTGAGGCTGAAGCCGCCACAGCAGGGCTAGGCAGCAGTCGGCTCAAGTGGGTAGACGGGATGGCAGAGCGTGCGGCACTGGAGGAGCTGGTGAAACTTCAGGGAGAGCGCGTGCGAGGCCTCAAACAGCAGAAAGCCAGCGCCGAGCTGGTGAGACAAGCAGCAGGGAGAGGGCCTCGGCAAAGCCTGAGAGGATGTAGAGCCAGGATGTTCGGGATATAGGACAGGGATATGAGGGAAAGGACCAGGCTTGTAGGGAGGAGGGTGGGCTGCGTGGGGAGGCATCCGGGGTGGGTCCCGAGAGAAACAAAGCTAGGCCTGAGCAGAGAGATTCTGATGAGGAAGGAATATTGAATGAATGGGAGGGGGAGGGAGGAGAGTGACAGATGGATAGCCCAGCGCCTTGTTTCCTTCCACAGATCGAGGAGGAGGTGGCAAAACTGCTGAAACTGAAGGCACAGCTGGGTCCTGATGAAAGCAAACAGAAGTTTGTGCTCAAAACCCCCAAGGTAATATCATTCCTGTAGGGAGCCACTGAGAGGGTCTCTAATTCTGCCTCCCTAAACCAGGCCATTGAGGAGAATCTGAAATACTGCAGAGGAGAGGACAGTTGCTCTGGGCACTGGGCTGTACTGGACTCTACCTGAGTCATTCTGGGATGGCAAAGTAATGCCAGAAAGTAGGCCAGCTTGGTGATAAGGGGAGTCAGCCTACTGCTGCTACTCCTTCATTCGTTCGGTAAATATGTATTTACTGCTTACTATGTCTCTAGCACTGTACAAAGCACTGAATATACCATGGAGGACAATATAGCCTACCCTCATGGAGCTTACATTCTACTGAAGGAGAGAGACTTAGAATAAATAATCCCACACATGGATTTTTTTTTTTTTTTTTTTTTTTGAGAGGGAGTACCCTCTATTACCCAGGCTGGAGTGCAGTGCCCACAATCTTGGCTCACTGCAGCCTCTGCCTCCTGGGTTCAAGCAATTCTCCTGCTTCAGCCTCCTGAGTAGCTGGGACTACAGGTGCCCACACCATGCCAGGCTAATTTTTGTATTTTTAGTAGAGATGGGGTTTCATCATACTGGTCAGGCTGGTCTTGACCTCCTTACCTTAAGTGATCTGCCTGCATACAATGGATAAGTAATTACATATTGTGAAAAATGATATAAAGAAATTAACAAGGTTGCTCTGAGAAAAATAAGGGAGAACTGGGGAATCTGAGAAAGGCTAACTGAGGAAGTGATAAACTAACTGATATAATGGATGAGTAGGAAATAGCAAGAGAAAGTGTGACAAAGATAGGTCCATGTAGAGTATGGAAACCCTGAAGCGGGAAAGAACTTTGGTGGTTTTGAGGAACTAGAGGATGATCTATATGGCTAGAACTAGGTAAAGGAGAGTAGAGTGGAATGAGATTGGAGATTCTTAGCTTATCTTCCAGTTCAGTTCCACTTTCTGTAAGCTCTGTAAACAGAATTGTTTACCCCTTCATCTGGGTTCTCTTGGCACTTCATACATACTTCTGTTATTGCACCAACTTTAAGTAGTTATTTATGTGGTTTATTTACCCTGAGGCTGAGACTAGGTGCCTAAATAGTATAGTCAGCCCTCCATATCCCAGGGTCCCACATTCATAAATTCAACCAACCGTGGATCAAAACCATTCGGGGGAAAGAAACAAATTAAAAAAGAAATCTAGCTGAGTGTGGTGGCTCACACCTGTAATCCCACTACTTTGGAAGGCCGAGAGGGGAGGATCACTTGAGCCCAGGAGTTTGAGACCAGCTTGAGCAACGTAGCAAGACCCTATCTTTACACAAAAAAGAAAAAGGTGTGGTTTTTTGGGGTTTTTTTTTTTTTTAGACGAAGTTTCACTCTTGTTGCCCAGGCTAGAGTGCAATGGCATGATCTTGGCTCACCACAATCTCCACCTCCCAGGTTCAAGCGATTCTCCTGCCTCAGCCTCTCACGTAGCTGGGATTATAGGCATGCACCACCATGCCCAGCTAATTTTGTATTTTTAGTAGAGACATGGTTTCTCCATGTTGGTCAGACTGGTCTCGAACTCCCAACCTCAGGTGATCTGCCCGCCTCAGCCTCCCAAAGTGCTGGGATTACAGGCATGAGCCACTGGCCCAGCCAAAAAAAAAAAAACTTTTCAAATCTAATGTAACAGTAAAAAATTTCAAATAAAAAGTACAGTATAACAACTATTTATATAGCATTTACATTGTCTAAGGTATTATAAATAAGCTAGAGACTATTTAAAGTATACAGGAGGATGTGCATATAATTTTATATCAGCAGCTTGAGCATCCATGGATTTTGGTATCCACATGGGGCCTAGAACCAATCTCCTCTGGATACTAAGGGATGACTGAATTTCATAAATGTATTTGAAATTGAATTCCAAAGGAGAGGGGAGATGGTCTTTCTTTTGTTAAGATTAATTCTTTGGGTTCCTAAATTCATTGAGCCTTTTCTTTCTACATATAACTTATTTTTGAAGGTTAAAGAGAGTGTAAAATCCGAAAGTGGTAATGCTCAGTGATTATTCAAAGTATTATATGAAAAGCTTATTGTGGAATTTATGATGGATCAGTCTGTCCTCACCAGTGATCAGTGTCAACATCACTAAAAGTAGGACAACCAGATGTTCCTGCTGCTGTAATGCAATAAGAAGTACACAGCACCACCTATGAAGTACTCTTGCCAAGTAAATTGAACTTGACTCTAATCAGATCTTTGGACTAACTATCAATTTACAGGAAATACTAGAGATGGAGGAACATGTTAAATGACACATCAAGCATCTTATTCACCAAATCTAGAATGTGAAAAAAAATTTTTAGGACAAATGACCCAATTTCCTCAGTTAAAAATGATTATTTTTAAATAAACAAGGGGTATAGGAGGAAACTATTGTAGATTAAACAGATGTATCAGCTGATTACAACGCATAGACTTTGTTTTGAAGCTGATTCAGATAAATTGATCATAAAAAGATATTATTGAAGCAACTGGGGAAAACTGACCATGGCTTAGCATTAGATAATATTAAAGAGTTGCTATTAGTTTTGTTGGTTATAATAATAAAGATAGAGTCTTTTGGGTTTTTTTTTTTTTTTTGAGACAGAGTCTCACTCCGTTACCAGGCGCCAGGCTGGAGAGCAGTGGCGTGACCTCGGCTCACTGCAACCTCTGCCTCCTGGGTTCAAGCAATTCTCCTGCCTCAGCCTCCCGAGTAGCTGGGACTACAGGCACGCGCCACCATGCCCAGCTAATTTTTTTGTATTTTTAGTAGAGACGGGGTTTCACCATGTTGGCCAGGATGGTCTCGATCTCTTGACCTCATGATCCGCCCGCCTCGGCCTCCCAAAGTGCTGGTTGGGTTTTTTTAATGTCCTTATGTGTTAGAGATTTATATGAAGTATTTATGGATGAAACGATATGATGTCTGGGATTTATTTTAAACTAAGAAAAACATGTCAGGGTTTAAATGAAATAAGAATAGCAGATGTTAATGGTTGTTGAAGCTGGATAATGGATAAATGATAACCCAAAATACTATTCTCTATGTTGTGTCTTTGAAAATTTCTATACTATAGTGTTAAAATAAGATTATGCTAGAGAGTTAATATGCATTTTAGTATGTTGAGACACATTTCTTGACGTAAGATTCATATTAACAATAGAAAATGCCGGGCGCAGTGGCTCACATCTGTAATCCCAGCATTTTGGGAGGCCAAGGCGGGCGGATCACGAGGTCAAGAGATTGAGACCATGCTGGCCAACGTGGTGAAACCCCGTCTTTAAAAAAAAAAAGACAAGAAACAATAGAAAACTCAGTACTTTGGGGACAAGACCTTTTCAAGGGGTCTTCATGGTAACTATTTTTATAATAATTCTGAGATGTCATCTGCCTTTTTCGTTGTGTTACCATTTGCCCTGAAGGCACAAAAGCACTGGTGAGTGGAACTACTGCTGTCTTAGCATAAATTAAGATAGTGACACTAAACTGTACTAATAGCCAGTATGTTCTTCACTGCCATGCACTCAAAGTGAGTAAATAAATAAATAAAATTCAGTTTTACTTAAGAATGTCATTGATAAAATAGTAAAACTTTGTTCATTTGTTTGTTTTGCGGGTTTTTATTGGAGATAGAATCTCACTGTTGCCCAGGCTGGAGTACAGTGGCATGATCCTGACTCACTGCAGCCTCCACTTCCGGGGTTCAAGCAATTATTGTGCCTCAGCCTCCCGAGTATCTGGGATTACAGGCAGGTACCACTATGCCCAGCTAATTTTTTTGTATTTTTACAAAAATACAAAAAACATATAAGAAACACATAGCATGTTTCACCATGTTGCCCAGGCTGGTCTCGAACTCCTGAGCTCAGGCAGTCCACCCACCTCAGCCTCCCAAAGTGCTAGGATTACAGGCATGAGCCACCATGCCTGGCTGAAAACTTATTAATTTTGTTGAATCTTGACCCTTGAGTACCCTCTTTTTAAATATTTGCTATGACAAAATGAGAAATACATACAAAGCACTTCTGCACTCCAAGGTAGGGAAAATGCTTATGCCATTGTTCAAATTGCAAGCTGATCTAGCTATTTTTTTCATAGAACATCTTTTCTTATTTGAATTAATAACTGAAAGACAAATGGTTTTTAAAACTTGAATATTTGGCAGACATTTTTACAACAATGAACAAAGTGAGCCTTGTCACCT